GCAGTCTAAGTCTATAGCAGCAGAAATGAAGAATAATTCAGGAAACCTAAGTCTAACTATAGGATTTATGAAAAAGGAAAACATATTACTAAGAATATTACTTGCGTAGAAGTCTTAAAGTATCTGATTTATTTTGTACTTAAGTATCAAAAGTAAAAGTATTAAGTAAAAATGAAAGGTTAGATTTTTCAAAATACACTTACTGGAAGGTGACCTCTTCAAAAAATTGTTTTTCTAATGGCGCGCAGCTTTGATTAATTGTATACAAACTAAATACAGTATCAGAATCGTATATATTTATACTTCTCATCCAACCAAAATTAAATTCACTCTATCCTGGAGGTGCAGTTTATCAGGATATTTTTTAACAATAACAAGTCAAAACGAATTAGAAGTAATGACTTTCTACTTACCTTTTTTTAAAATGTAAGGAGTAAAAGTAAAAAGTAGGCTGAAAAATAATTAATCAAGTAAAGTACAGATACCCAAAAATTCTACTTAATTACAGTAACAAAGTATTTGTACTTAGTTACTTTAAAACTCTGGTTTTAACTTCACAACACCAGCTGGATAAACTGCTGCCATGAATATTCCTGTCACACATTTCTGCTCCTTTCACAACGATGAGCAGAAAACACAGTTTTATGATAGATCTGCTCAAAAGCTGTTAAAAAGGATTCATTCAGAAAAAGAGATTCTGGTTCAGATTTCCTGTAGTTTTCTGCTACATCATAGTTTCTCCAGTTTGAAAGTACATAACGAAAATCAGGACCATTCAGATCACATTAAACGTGTCTTTACAGGTGGTGACAGTCAAAGGATGAACAGCAAACCAATAAAAGAGTCTTATTTGAAAATGGATCATTACAGTTGATCACTATGGTTATGGCAGCAGAGTAACAACTGGCACAGCTAGCTAACAAGAAGCCAAGTGTTACACAATGTGCTGGTGTCGATCACAATTGTGTTTTCCTTTGAGGGAACCTATAAAATACGTTGCTCTGCTAATCCTCCCCTGTGTGTCTGTTAGGACTGTGTGTGTGTGTGTGTGTGTGTGTGTGTGTGTGTGTGTGTGTGTGTGTGTGTGTGTGTGTGTGTGTGTGTGTGTGTGTGTGTGGGCTGGAAGAAATCTGCTTTAATAACAGCCAGGAGAAAACTATTGCTGCTGCAAATAGCTGCAGGTCATGTCGGCTCGATGAAATCTCCTCTCCCTTTGCGTTTGTCCTCCCATCGTTCTTAAATCATTTTTACCTCCGTCCTCTCTTTTTCCTTGTCGTATAATTCCCATCATCTTCCACTTTTCTCTTCCAGAGCACACGCAGCCATGCAGCGGAGGGGAAATGTCACCTAAACTCAGTTTATTCAGGTTTTGATGTGTGAAATTGAATTTTCCCCATATATAGGTAGGGAGGGAGGTACTGGTTTGTCCATTAGGTGGGTCGTTGGTTGGTTGATTGGTTGGATGGGTGGATAATTTATTCGATGGATGGTTGGATGGATGGATGGATGGATGGATGGATGGATGGATGATGGATGGATGGATGATGGAAGGATGCATAGATGATGATGGATGGATGGATGGATGGATGGATGGATGGATGGATGGATGGATGGATGATGGAAGGATGCATAGATGATGATGGATGGATGGATGGATGATCGATGGATGGATGCATAGATGGAGGATGGATGGATGAATGGATGATGGATGGATGGATGATGGAAGGATGCATAGATGATGATGGATGGATGGATGGATGGATGGATGGATGGATGATGGAAGGATGCATAGATGATGATGGATGGATGGATGGATGATCGATGGATGGATGCATAGNTATTATTTATATTTTGTCTATTTTCTCCTTGTTTTCATTGGTTGAATCTAATTGTTGCAGCAGCTTCATTTCTGTGAAATTAATTCTGATTCTTGATAAAAGTTTCTGTCCTGATGAATCATTTTTCAGGTTTAAGAGTCGTGAAAAGCTGAAAATATAACAGACATAATTACATGTGTGTTCGGACCGAACGGTTTAAAATCTTCTTTACGTTCTTCTTCTTTATTTTGATCATCTTCTCATGACCTGAAGAAGCAGCAGAACATGTAGCGTTAGCGTCGTGAGCTGTGAGCACCAGAAGGTGCTGACTGGTTCTGTGGACGTACCCTTGCTGGTTCTGATGCACTGGTAGTAGCAGAGCCTGCGGCTCCGGAAGTTGTTCTCGTTTCCTCCACAGCCGCTGTAGGAGAACGGCTGGCATCGCCTGCTTTCTGGGTTGAAGGCAAACCTCCTGTCAGAGCCGGGACACGGCCCCCGCTGCACCGCTTTCAGACAGATCTCTGTGGATCACAGAGAAAACGTCACTTTGTTCGTCTCTGCTGCCGTTTGTTCAACTTTGTTGTGAACGAGGTCGTTTTTTTCTGCCGTACGGTTTTCAGCATGTATCCTTAAAACGCTCAGCTCCTTCTGGACATTCCAGCTACGATTTTTGGTTTTTCAGCCGCTGTTTCCCCTCTGAGTATGAATGAAGCTGTTTTCAACATCCTTAAAATCCCTTAAAATGTTTATAAATCTTTACAGCACCTCACATCTTTTGTTCTGGTTCCGCTCTTTTTACTTTCGTTGTGCTAATTTTAGCTTCTTTTTTGCTAACTGCAGCTTTTTTCTGCTACCACTATTGTGATTCGTTTCCCATCCAAGTCATCTCCACTTTGCCATGCTTCTCCTCCTGCATACTTTGTCCTAGAGC